GTAATGCGCGTCACTGAAAAAATGCGCAACCAGATATTCGAATAGTTCGAATATTCGCATGTTTTTTTCGAGGGAATATTCGAACGTAATTTTTGAGCAATTTTGACAGCCCTAGTATACTGCCCCCATCTGTTATGGAATATGGAATATTTTTTGATTTTTAGTTCCAGATGGCACCTTTAATTTATTTGTATTAATTAACCACTAGTGAACTTGTTCTTTTTTTTTTATAAATATAGAATGTATTTGTATTACATCTATATTCATTATAGTCAAAGAATATAATCGAGAATCATATCAGGAATTGAGAATCGAAATCGAAAATCGAATCGAGAATAGAAAATGAATCGATCTGAGAGCTTTCGAATCAAAAACGAATCGATATTCAACATGTGAATCGATACCAAGCCCTAAAATTGATGTCCCTGTCCCCACCAATTTCAAAATCAAACCTTCGCCTCAGGGGCCGTATTCACAAAGAATTTTATCTTACCACTAGGAGTACTCCTAAATCGCATATAAATATTTTAGCTAGGAGTTTTCTCTTAAAAGTTATTCACAACGCCTTTCAGACCTACTCTTAGTATGGAAAAATGACAACTCCTAAACTAAGAGTGAGTCTTCGTTCGCAATGATCACGGTGATTGGTTGTTAGATGACAGGGCCATCATGCAGAACATAACACAGCAACAAATCATGGAATTACGACATCTAAATATGTCTGTGTTCTACACAAAATAATAATAAGAAAATATAGCTGCGAGCAGCGATGGCGGGCCCAAGCCGGTGGCACCGCAACCCCGGTTCCTTTAGTTACCTAAAAGCACCGGGTTGGCGGTGCCGAAGGCTTTGGCCCTTTCATGATTAAATGTTAAAACGGCTTGCCATACTCTGTCATTTCGACTGGTCACAATTATGTTAGAGATATCTTAAATGATAATACAAACTATCCAAAATGTAATTACGACTAGACAGAAAGACGTTGTTGATATCTACAATGTTAAAGGAGAACTCCGGCGAACAATGAACCTTTGGTCTAATAAAACATCGGTACATAGTCAACCGTTCTCTGAGATTTGTTTTCATGATAATCGAATGTAAAGAGTTTTATCTCTAAAAACTGTTTAGCGTATAATGCTAGTAATGGGGGCATTGAGTAAGTAAAAAGAAATCGCTAGTTTATACCACTAACAAGGCTCAAAATAGCCCCACACTCACACAGTAACATAATGAGGCTCCATACATGCAAAACGAAGCATTGAGAACTTTGTAAGTGTACAGACCGTTTAATAAGAAGATACTTTATGAAGACAGTTCACTTCGCGTATACAAACAGGAGCCATCTTAAAAAATAGTCTCTATAAGTCAAACCACGAACGTCGTGCTGAGTGATCTGAACTCTATGAAGTTCAACTAACTTCTGAACTGTATGAACGGCGTTCGGGGATCGACTTATCGAGACTATTTTTTAAGATGGCTTCTGTAAAGTATCTTCTTATTAAACGGTCTGTACACTTACAAAGTTTTCAATGCTTCGTTTTGTATGTATGGAGCCTCATTATGTTACTGTGTGAGTGTGGGGCTATTTTGAGCCTTGTTAGTGGTATAAACTAGCGATTTCTTTTTACTTACTCAATGCCCCCATTACTAGCATTATACGCTAAACAGTTTTTAGAGATAAAACTCTTTACATTCGATTATCATGAAACTCTTTACATTCGATTATCATGATTATCATGAAAACAAAACTCAGAGAACGATTGACTAGGTACCGATGTTTTATTAGACCGAAGGTTCATTGTTCGCCGGAGTTCTCCTTTAATTCCGGATAGGCAAACTTAGCTTTTAAATGTTAAAAGGGCTTGCCATACAGGGACGTAGGCTCAGAGAGAGGCTCACCATATTCAAACCAAAATATCTGACTTCCTCTTGGTCCGAGCTAATGACTATGTTTTAGAAAGTTGTCCGGCTTGAGGAGTACAATGTATATACCGATTTTTGTAACTGTAGATAAAACTAACAACCCCACTTTTGTCACTTTTGCTATTTAGTCCTTGCACCATGCCCGTTTCTGAAACTTTGCACATGTCTACTGGCTAATAAATGTATGTGTCTGTTGAGTTTCATGCAATTTTAAGCATGCTAAGAGTCTCAAAAGCATCCTAAAATAATTTCAAAGTTTGAAGCGTTGCCACGGCAACAGTTTCAAAGATATCAAGAATCCATTCACACGTCTTCATCTGCCGTATGTTTACATTATACAGATGAAGGTTGAAGCAAATCGGGTAAAAATAAGAGGGTGATTTCAAAGCATTTTGAAAGTGACACAATTCCAGCTGCCAGTTGGTGGCGCTATAACTTTGACTCACAATAGTCACATCCATGTGATCATCCTCTTACAGCGAACAAATTGCTGAAGTTTCATCAAGATCAGTTAATGTATGCTGAAGTTATAACACACTTCCTGTTTCACGTTTCTCGCTATAATTTCGTTTCCTCGCCATGGCCAAACCGTTCGAGATATCAAAAATCCCCTGGCAATTTTTTATCCTCAATGTCTTGACTTCACGCTGATCGAGTTTTGTGGCATTTCTTTGAATTCTCTAGAGAAGTACTTTAAATGATTCCATTGCATGTTTTTTTAACAAACAACCCTAAATAGCCAACTTCCTGTTGGGCTGGGGTAAAAAGTAAGAGTGTGAAGTATATATGAACCGATGAGATCTATGTGTACCGAGTTTCATATTATTACATGCAAGTGTGTTTGATTTATGGACCAAATTTTCAGACCAAGTTTATTGACCAAGTTAATCTGATTAATAAACTAATTATATAAAACTATTGTCAATGGACTACAATTAAACTAGTTATATGCCTTTACTTATAAAAAATAAAAATAAAAACTTATTTAAAAAATACCAGGCTTGAGAAATGTATTTTCTTTATGCAGGTCATACACACAGCAGTGAAATGGTTAAGCCCCCTCCCCCTGCACACACACACACAGACAGGCACACACACTCAGACAGCCACACACACACACACACACACACAGACAGCCAAAGACACAGAGACATGTAGGCTCAGACTGAGCCAGACCATATTCAAACAAACATATCTTACTTTCTGTGGGTCCTAGCTAATAAGTGTAAATTAGAAAGTTGTCCGGCTCGAGGAGTACAATATACATCCCAATTTTTGTAACTCTAGTTAAAACTAACAACCCCACTTTTGTCAAAAGGTGGCGCTACTGAGCCCTCACCACACCCGTTTCTGAAACTTTGCACATGTCTACTGGCTAATAAATGTGATGTGTCTGTCGAGTTTCATGCAATTTGAAGCATGCTAAGGGTCTCAAAAGCATCCTAAAAGAATGATAAAGTTTGATGCGTTGCCACGGCAACAGTTTAAAAAATATCAAGAATCCATTCACAGGTCTACATCTGCCATATGTTTACATTATACAGATGAAGTTTGAAGCAAATCGGGTAAAAATAAAAGGGTTGATTTCAAAGCATTTTGAAAGTGACACACTTCCTGCTGCCAGTTGGTGGCGCTATAACTTTGACTCACAATAGTCACATCCATGTGATCGTCCTCTTACAGCGAACATACTGCTGAAGTTTCAACAAGATCAGTTAATGTATGCTGAAGTTATAACACACTTCCTGTTTCACGTTTCTCGCCATAGTTTCGTTTCCTCACCACGGACAAACCGTTCGAGATATCAAAAATCCCCTCGCAAACTTTCATCCTCAATGTCTTGACTTCACGCTGACTGAGTTTGGTCGAATTTGGATCAAAGCTCTAGGAGGAGTATTTCACATTCCATTGCGAGCGTTTTACAAACAAACCATAGCCGACTTCCTGTTGGGCTGGGGTAAAAAGTAAGAGTGTGAGGTATAGATGAAACGATGAGATCAACATGTGTACCGAGTTTCATATTATTACATACAAGCGTGTTTGAGTTATGGACCAAGTGTTCACACCCCGTTCCAGGGGGCGCTGACGAGCCGCCCTGCCACGCCCGGGTACCATCTTCAGCCCGGCTCTGATGGCCGCGGGTTCTGAGTTCTGACCCGTGTGCAAAGTTTCAAGAGTTTTCGAGCATGTTAAGGGCCCCAAAAATGCCCAAAAGGTAGCAGAAAAATAATAAAGAAGAATAATAAATAATCCCAAGGAAAACAATAGGGCCTTCGCCCTTTCAGGGCTTGGGCCCTAAAAAAAGTAATGTCATCGAAATGCATAGGCTATATAATGACATGTTTGTGCAGGCCACATTGAAGTGTAATTCTAAAAAGGCAGAGAGAGAAAAGTCAAGAATGAAATTATTCAAGGTAGCCTAAGGGCCTGCAGTGTTCACTTATCGCGTCTTTTGCGCGCTCAAGTACGTTATTTAACATTTTAAATGTAAAAATAAATAGAAGTGACTGACAACGAATGCACAGCTGCACCTGTTCTTACTTTAAAATCAAGGTGGATAGTTTAAATATCTGGTTGTTTTTCACTTAACCTCAAGGCAGCTTTCCAAAAATCATTGTGAGCTAAGTGGATTGTAAAGACCATTGGTGACAATGGTCTCCACGATCAACTTGGGCTCACAACGCTTTTTGGAAAGCTGCCCAGTGCACTTAGAAACTGAACCTCAAACCACATGTACTTTTTTACAGAGACTCTTAGCTACTTTGATACCATTTTATTGAATTCACCCAAAATACATTATAATGATCAATGTGTTATGACCATTATAATGAATAAATGATGACAGAATTTTCATTGTCAGTAACCTATTTCTTTAAGGCAATTAGTTTGATTTAGTGTCATATCCAGCATAGTCCAACACTAAAGTGCTGCTTGTGGGCCAATGAAATATGATGCATTTTGTTCAAAAATATTGGAAGAAGTGTAACCGAACAGAACACACGGGTGGTCCAGAGACATGCTTTAACTTGACACAAAGTCATGATGATGTAAGTTGTACTTTTCAGTGTGGTACTCACGGCTACACATTATGTTTCTGAAAGGGGCGGGGCCACAAGGAAGGCATTCCAAATCTTCTAATCCGTCCAATCGCATTTTGCTGTAGAATCTTCAATTACAGAAAAAATTATCAGTTTATAAGCATCAAGTTTCGTTACGGTTATTTTGTGTGTGTGTGGGTGTGGTTGTGTCTCACCCAGGGAGGCAGTTTCCACAGACTGCATTTTCGGTGTGTGTGCAGTGCTTGATTTGGTGTCTGTTAAGTCTACGACAGTTCTGGCACAGTGTGCAAGGGTGAGAACCCCAGTCTTCCTTAAACCACCTAAAGTCACACATGCCACATACTGCTGACACACCTACACCATAACCACAGTCCTAAAAGACCAGAACACAAACAAGCTGCTCAGTAACATAAGTGCATGCGTCAAACATTTTCTGAGGACACAGCTCTTGTAACCTAGCCCTGTTTGTAAGTCATTTAAGGTCATGTGTAAGCCTCTGGTGGCAGGCGTGGCATATTTACTCCACAAATTGAAGCACATTTTTTATTAACATGTCATACCTATATCTTTCTCATAAAACAGACCAAAAATTCACCTTTAAAGTTTTAACATAAGAAAATTAAATAGCGGTTAATATAAATTTTTATACGTCTCCTAATATAAAAAATAGTTACGACCAGAAGACAATGCCGCTTTGTCTATTTTACCTATTATCTATTGAATTTATTGAACATCTATTGAATATCTTAGATATCAGGAATAGAAGCAAGCTAAATAAAAATGTTATCCCCTTTTCTGACAAGTACCACTAAACCACCAGTCCAACAGTTACTACAAACCTGATAAAATAGCCAACATTAAAATGATCTGTGAACATTTGCGATTATGTTTATGTTTATATATGTGACTTGTGCTGGCAAAAGGGAGTCAGAATTATTTGTACACTTTCTGGGAGGAGTAGGCCTACCTTTCCTTTGTCCATGAAAAACAATCTCACCTGTGCTGACAGAAAGATCTGAAGCGTGCGCTCAAAGAGCTCAATTAAACATTGATATTATCTAAACAAAGACATTTGGTTTTGACTTGGTGTGTGCCAAATTTGGTGTAATTACCAGGGATTTTATGGTATGGCTGCTTAGTGATTTTGTTTTGGAAGCCTCAGTCGATTTTTCTCAAAATTGACTTTGCTGACTCAATCGACTCTATCGTCATTTTTTTGTACGATACAAACAAATCATATATCATTTTTAAGTTTTTTTTTTTTTTTTGTGTGAAAATAACTCATTTTTGAAAATTTGCTCCTTGTGCCTCATTTTGCCAGCACGGGTCACATATATGCATAATCAAACATCAATCAAGGAGGGTTGATGTTGTTGGCTGCAGAGGTTTAACACATGCCAGTTCATCTTCAAACGTTTAAAAATAAGTGACAATTAATTATAGGTGTTACTTTGTTCATACAGACCCTGGGCTTCTCAAATATTAATTTCTTCAAAAAAAATGTTTAAATGAATTACTTTTCAAACACTTGCTTTACAACAATCCTGAAATTGCAGAGACACAGAAGGGTATTTCTCTAACCTCTTTCAATTCTTGGCCGGGTGAACACTTTGGGCACTTGTGACATTGTCCACTGTGATAATATTCGTCTGTTGAGCAATCCATTCCATATCTAAGAGAAAGAAAGAGTTAGGCTCTTACACATAAGTTTACAATTCACATAAATTGTTATTTCAAAACTATGAGGCCTGAATGTAAAAAAAAAACTGTATGCCAGTTAATTTCTTTATAAAACATTTTCTTTCTTTCTTTTTTAAAGAAGACTTAAAAATTAATACCCAATAAATACCCAATAATACCCTGTCGATACCCAATACATCAAAATAAATGTAAGGTTTTTGGAAGTAAAAACTAATTGCCATATTGCCATACAGTGAAAAAGTGGGTCCATTGTGCGGATTCGTGCGCTAAATCCCACCTCTTGTTTTGTGCGCATCTCAAAGACAACTATGGTGTTATTAGGAAGACTATTTAAAAAGTAACGTAACAACTTCGTCACTTAAATATCACCACTTAATGTCAAGTCAAAATCAAACTTGAAATGGCCTGAAAACATGATTTTTTTATGAGCAAACAGCTTAGTCAAAAATGAAAGGTGCATCTTCGTGTCTGTCTCTGACCACCATGTACAAGCTTGATGACGACTGCTGAAAATAACATTTAAAAAAAAAAAAAACATTGGTTCACAAATAATATTGTTCAAATTGTTACTGCCTAGTTATTATTTTGGTATAACTTTAGAAATGCGTAAAAACAGTAGGCCTAGGCTAACTTGAAATTTATACTTAATAATTATAACATTACATAGTGTAAAAAACAAAACAAAATATAATTGTAGTTGGTCTCCTTTTTCATGTAATATTAAATTTTAACAAGATATGAATTAAATCTTAGATTAAATTATACTAAAGTTGGGGGGGTTGTTTCTCTAGTTCATCCAATAGTCAGCTATTTACGTTTATTTCAATATAACGATTCATGCACCACTTTCAACCACTCTGAAACCGAGAACACAGAGAAACAGATCAAGAGAGAGCGCACATTTGTGCCATATAAAACAAAAATACCTCCTTTAAATTATCTGTTGGGAATAATTTTCCCTAGGCTTAAAATACAAGAAAGCTGGTCAAACCGAACTACGTAGGGCGCACTGCTACGATTCAAAAGTAGAGAGCAGTGTACCAGCAACATCATGAAACTGTAAGTGTCACATAGTTTCATCCACACTTACATTGCAGGGGCAACAACGCGCAGTAGTCACTTAATGTCTCATTGGAGTTACCGTCTCTTGTGACTTTGGTCAATTCGGTCCAGTTTAGCTTGTGTTTTAAGTTGCTGAAGTTGTTGACTGACTGGCACACATTTGCCCACTGTGCAACAGTGGGCTACACACTGGGACACACGGGGGCATGTCCCGACATGTTCACACTGTGACTGCAATCCACTGCAGAAGATTCAGGGATGGCCGTGAGAAATGCTCCTAAAGGGAAGTTGCGATTAAAAATGATGATTTCTCGCAAATGACTTAATCTCAAATAAAAATGATACCTAATAGATAGCTTGATTATTTGTAACGAGGTACAATGTGTCCAAAGCTTTTACTCAGTTTTAAAAACAATGGCTTCTTTCGCTGCAGCAAACCCTTGTGAACGCAAGGTGGCGATAATTAATAAATGTGGAGGAGTACGACCTTACTTAAGATTTATGAGTCCCAATCGTCCCAATTCGCCTAATTATAGTACACCCAAAAAGTATGTACTCTTGTGGTGAAGAAAAAATACATTCTTTTAAATGTGTAGCAAAAGAGTAGGCAAATTGGGACCATAATATTGGGACATACTTCATCAGCCAACCGTAAACTGCCCTGTCAATCATCTCGTCACAGTTAAAATCCTCCATTCAATCTATTATAATTTCTTACCAGAGAGAGAGAAATGTTGTCGCACGTTCATCTGCCAGTCGTGGGTCTTTTATGCGGAAACTCTCCTTTGCAATTTAAATGGACTGATGCATTTAAAAGTTAATGGCTAAAACGTAGGCTTATCTTTAAAAAAGTGCACAATGCTGCTGCAGATGCAATGAATTGTAGCCAACATTGAATAAACACATTTTCGTCAGGTTAGATATGATTATTAATCTCTCAAACCCCTTTGTCTAAACCTTTCTACATAACCGCCGGGCTCGTGCGTCCTCCATGTCTGTAGGTTTTAGTCCACCCGAGTCTCTTTGGAACACTCATTTCAACGATTTGGGACGTACTAATTCTATTTTCTAATACTATTTAGGACGGATAGTGCGAATTAGGACGCAGCATTAAAGTATAAATACTTAATTACAATTTACAATAGGCCTATAATACAAAATTGATTTTTTATCGGATATTGCACACTATTTATTATAAATGATTTACCCATGCACATCCTTTATTATTATTTTTCAAATTAGTATGTGCCCCCATGCTCTTTAATCAAAATAAATTCCCCTGCATTTTGACACATCTCTTCTGACATGTTTTGACACATCTCTTCTGAGACAAACTGCAACAACTGCCACTCACGTTAGATCACAGCAATACCAAATACCAAACCACAACGATCCAATCAATTCCCCAATGGACAAAATGTATGTCACAATAGGGAAGAAAAGATTAAAATGCGTAACAATTAATATAATTTAGATAAAAAAATTACATTTACATTACATTACATTAGTGACTGCATTGTGTTATTATTGCACTACCTTCAACTGAACACTGCAACTCATTAAGTTGGTAATTCCCACAGCAGGCCATGTTTATCCTCACACCTTATTGAAGATAGAAGGCATATGTGCTGATTTATTCATGAGTAAATTAAAAATGTGAAAGCAAGGTGATCCATAAACATACGCACCAAATGCCCCTTAAAACATTCTAACATGTTTATTACTCATATGTGTTAGTTTTTAGAAAGAGAACTGTCTATCTCTCTGTGTGATGGTGCGCTTGATAAATTAATTACACAAAAGTTATTTGTCAGTTACAAATAGAAATGCATGGACTGCCAAACAAAAACACAAATTCTCTCAATGAGTGCTCCATTGCTCTGTCACTGATGATTTTGGAGTTAAGTACGTAAAATGCAATTTATCATCGTGCAAAACACACAAAAAAAACAAGAAAGCACAAGCATTTGTGTCAGGTTGTTATTTTAATTATAACTGAATTGTGAGTATTATGACTTGCCAGGATCCAATGTTAGATCCATCAATCAGAGAGGTTAGATAAAATGAATAGAGAATATGTGTTTTTCCATGGGTGCTCGCCCATATTTTTGTGTGCCCGAGCCCCGAGCAGTGCCTATAATAATTTTCTCTACAATTATCACACATGAAACGATTAAAAAAATGCTAAAGCCAAGTGGAAAGTGTTTTTTTTTTTTTTTTTTTTTTTTTGTGGTATGTGATAATGAAAAAAATAAGTGTAGAAACTGGTATATGTGTGAGAGATTGAGGGAGTATAGGGCACTTTAGCCTTGCATACTTGCCAAAGTGTATGGTTTTGGCAAAGGAAGAAAAAAAAACAGATAAAGTGGGAGAGAGCGCATGACAATTTTTTCAGGGTTATTGTGTCTGAACTGTATCAGGTCAGAGACAGTGTTTTGCATGGGTTGTTTTGTCCCTTAACCGATCTTAAGCAACTCAAATAGAACAACAGGATGTTATATTAACAGAACCTTTTCACCTGTCAAAAGGAGACCAATATTTTGGTCATTATTGTTATGACTCGTGAGTGCTGTCGTGGACATAGATGTGTGATCACCTCATCCCTGAAACTTATCTCAGCCTGTTCCTGTCCTCATCCACTTCACACACATTCTTATCAGAAGTTTAGATTTGCCCTGACCTCTAAAATGCGCATTGACGTCCAACCTTATATTTAAGTCTAAGACAGCTGTTGTTCTTTGAGGATGTCCCAGACAGAGTCCATAATGACAAACTTCAGACAACAGGATAGCAAAAGTACAATTTGACTGATTAGAGCAAAGAAACTTTTGTAAATATCAAACCGAAGTGCTTGGATTTTTGGACCGTGCCAAAATGAAGGCATGTATGCCTGTCTGAGCACATACATTCCAGCCAGATGATCCTGTTGCTTTGATTGCTTCTATTGCTCTACTCTTTTGTAAGTCGCTTTGGATAAAAGCATCCAAATGTAATATGTGTGTGTGTGTGTGTGTGTGTGTGTGTGTAGTGGGAGTTTTAATTATGAAGGCCATAGAGAAGAGCCAGAATCAGGAATAGTTCAGATAAGAAAACTTCAACCACCTGGAGAGGGAAAGATATCTGAAGACCTATTTATGAATCTTAACTATTAGTACAGTTACAAGGACATATTAAAATATAAGTGGCATGAATATGAAAGCTAATTTTCCCTTGATGACAGCAATTGATACGGCCACAGGGACATCTCCATGCACCTGCTGTTGACAGAGGAAAAACTATGAAAAGTGGCATAAGAGCCCCGAACAGCATCAGCGTTACTCAGAACTATAGAGTCCTCCTCGAGGGATTCGCCTCAGACCAGCAGCATAGGCATAATGAGCAAAACAACATGAACCAAGAAAAAGTACCATAAAGAAAGCATTTACTTTTATTTTTACTAAGCATTTTACTATGCTGTTTTTTCTCTCTCTCAATAACTGACTTCCAAACCTGACTTTCTTTCTTCTTGGGAACACAATAGAAGATGTACAGAAAAATGTCTCTGATTTAATCTCTCTCTCTCTCTCTCTCTCTCTCTCTCTGCCCACACAATAAAAATGAAAGTTATTGGTCTGATGTTATTTTGCACCCCACTTTCAAAGAGAGTGGAAACATGTCTTAATTCACATAATGACAGTCATTAGTTGCTTCTCATTATCGACACAATTTCCATCACACACTTTGAAGAGATTTCATGTGTAAGCCATTTTTACTTGAACCTTTCCATTGACATATATTCAAGGCAAACAACATCCAATTATAAAAAAACCCTTGGATTCTGTTTTATACAGTAAACATTAAATGAAAAACCCAAATGGACATATAAAACCTCGGTCTTGCTCGGTGACTGTCCGAGTAACAACTGAACTTATGAACTTCAATCAGGTATGACTCTGCTGGTTTATTTTGGAAGTAGAGAAAGTAAAAAAACATGCCAAATTGCCCTTGAGATCTGTCCATATCAAAAACAGGGTATTTTTTTCAAGCGTTCTGCATGTGGGCGGTTTTCTTTTAACCAGTATTACAGAACTGAAACCAGCCTCACTGGACGTTTTATTAACTGAAAAGTTTATCAAAACGAAACAATTTGTGATCAACACATCATACATTTTAATAGGATTAGATCAACAGATAGAAAAAAAAACCTTGATAACCGTAAAGCTCCATGATAAAAAGTTAATACAGCCGTGACGTGACCCGATTATGGAAATTTTCCATTGGCTGCAGAGCTTTGATGATTGAATAGATTGTGCAAGCCGAAAGAAAGACACACAAATACATTCACTTGCAGGTGTATTTCTGCTTTATGAGGAAATTGTTCAACTTTTATTCAGAGTTGTTGTCCTCCAACAACAAATGGCATGACATGAGAGTGTGGGGGCGGAGCTTATGCCAACAACTTCCTGACCACAGAGCAGCCAGCATATATAAACAGTCACTTACCTCACCCGCTCTGACAGCTCTCCCAAACACACATGAATCAAAATAGAGAATGCCTGCCTGCTGACTTAAGAGATGGATGAGTGATATGATATGATCAAGTGAAATGAAGACCTTGCCTTTCCGAATGATTATAATTGAATTATTTAAGCAGAAGGCCATTCATTTTTGTAGGCCTTTACACACATGCTTTCACACGTAATGAAACAGCCAGCCTCTCTCATTAGTGCAGACCACATCTCACTGACAGATGTTAAACTTCAATTGTTGGCATGGTATTGACACCACAGAGAATGATGTACTTAATGCAGCTTGTTAGGGTTTCCATTTGTCTCTCAGTCTGCGTAAATCTCTCTTTTCCTCTGTGTGACTGGATTGGAAAGTGTATGTTTTCTTGAAAATGAAAGCTTGACATTACAGACAAAGGGAGAGGGCCAGAGAAGCCTGAAGGTGGGTGTATCATGTGTCTGTTGTTCTTTACTCCTCTAATGTTAAAAAATCTCATAAACATGCAGTTTTTAAGAGACATAAATGGGAAACATATCAAACCCTTTCATTTGTGCTGTCTTTTTGTACATTTAAATTAGAAAGACTTTGAAAGCTTTGAGAAACTTTGCTTTACTTTCCTCTTGCACTCACACTTACTTAAAGGAGAACTCCGGTGCAAAATGAACCTTTGGTCTAATTACACATTGTTACCTAGTCAACCGTTATCTGAGATTTGTTTTCAATATACTAGCGTTATACTAGAGTTATAGGCTAAACTGTTGTAAACTAGAGATAAAACTATTTACATTCGGCAATCATGAAAACAAATCTCAGATAACGGTAGGTAACAATGTGTAATTAGACCAAAGGTTCATTTTGTGCCAGAGTTCTCCTTTAATGATGTTTTAATAACATAGATCATTTGAATAGATCATTTGAATGTGTTCCTCCCGAACTTGCACGAGTGGAGACATACCTGACACATTATGTTCCTCAACAGTTTTCTGCATCCCTCCATCACCCTGTCTCCTCACTCTTGGCTGGTTAAACCAGCCAGGGATACGGGGGAGAACTCTGGGTTTGGAGCAAATTCTGAGCTCGGGGCCCTCTCCTCAGACAGCATGCCAAAAAAAAAAACACATTCTCTTCACTCTGATTATTTGTGAACTCGTGAAACTTTTCAAAGCTCTCATGAGTTATAAATGTGAATGCAGTCTTATTAATAAAGATTCCAAAACAGTGGTTTTAGTATTGATGCCTGGAAGAACTGTTTGTTTGTTTGTTTGTTTGTTTGTTTGTTTGTTTGTTTGTTAAAGTGTGAAGAACACTTTGGTGTTGTTCGGTCATTTTAGATAAAAAAAAAAAAAAAAAAAAAAAAAACTAGTAGGCTACTTGTGGTCAAAATCGACCACCATTAAGTACAAAATTAGTTGTTCCAATTTAGCATACTTTAAATACTTTAGATATACCAATTTATACGTACAACAATGTTTATATTAAGTACATGAATAGCCTATGTATATGTATACTTAGCATTAAATAATGTATTTAAAATACATTTTAGTATATTTATTTTTCACTTGGGAAGGAAGAGTTTACATTCTAAACATTGAGACTAAAACAGACACACCTACTCAAACACACTCTCTTGTGGGGTCTCCATAAACGTAATGTTTTTTTATACTGTGCTAACTGTATTCTGTTTACTAACACTACCCCTAAACATACCAAAAAAAAAAAAAAAAACAAAAAAAAAACATTCTGCATGATTAGCGTCGTTTCCGCATGGGGATCTCAATTTATATCCCCATGTAAGTGACACAACACACACACGCGCGCTCACGCACACACACACACACACACACACACACACACACGAACTCATGCACCTCATGCACGAGCCAGAGCAGAAGACTCAAATAGGAGGTTGAAATCGGTCCAGGCTTGTTTTTATAACAAAAAAAGTGGTTTTGGCCGAATATAAATTAAATTTCAAATATAATTTCAAACCAAAAATGAAAAGATAAGCCTCAGGCTGAAGGAAATGCAAATTCACGCGTGTACAGTAGAGGGCGCAGCTCAAGCAAACTTTTCAGTTCTGCTGCCATTCTGGATTAGATAGCAAGAATAAGAAGAATGCAGGAGAAAAAAATAAACACTTACTTGACCAATAATCATAATAATAATAATAATAATAATAATAAAATCAATAATATTTTTTGCTTATGGTTTAACTAAATCATCGAAGTGTCAGAAGCAAGTATTGGTCAATAAAGTGAGATTAAATACATTTTTTTTTATTAATTTGGAGCTTTGCATAGTATTCTGATTCTATTAATTTTAAGGAATATTGAATTTGTGCAAGTGAGATGAGTAAATGCACGCACAATAACCATCAAGTTTACACACAATGCCTTATTTGTTTCATAACTTATTTGAAAAAGTAACTTTTAAAAATAGCCAAATGTGTTACTTTACTATACTTGAAAAAAAGACTGATTATGTAACTCAAGTTACTTATGACTTACCCCCAACACTGGTCGTCAGTGAGGGCATGCCATGCACCTATACTTTCGTTTTGTGTTTATTTTATTATTAAAAATGTTTGTGAGCATTTGCCAGTTCCCTCCTCCTTCTTCCCACAATAACTAACTGTTACAGTCCCTTTAACGTCTGGTGCCTCACTGTAACCAAGAATTTTATTAAATAACGAGAAAAAAAAAAGGAGGAACCAGTTGAGTTTGTGTGGCAATCAACACCTGCCACATGTGCTGTTTAACTTGTTTAACTTCTAGAGGCCTACAGAATCTGGAATATTCTTTTAACATAATATTAGCAGGTCTCCACAACCTTCAAAACTAAATAGAAGATTTTTTTAAACATAATAAATGGTGTGCACTTTGCCGTAATGTTCAGAGTATATGTGGAATTTCAGTTACTAAGCAACAGGTGTGCTACACACACATGCAGACACACACTCGAGTGGATGGGATAGAGCAAAAAGAAGCGAGTGATTAGTAGAATGCTGATTCCTAATGATAAACGAAAAAAATGTCACGAAGAGACAAGATAAACAAAAACCAACTCAGACTCAACTGATAAGCAACTGAGCACTTTCCCTTCAACTAAGCAAATCTCCAGCCAATAAACAAAACCAAACAATAGCCCTCTCAGCCATCCCTCAGTCTCAGCTCCTCCCACAGAACCAATTCATTCTGAATAAGCCACTCATTCTCAATAACCTCAAACACTTCACTGCAGCATTCCTCATCCAAATCAAACGGCATTCATGACAATTCAGGGCTGCAAATGCAATATCCTTTCCCCGCACTGCATACGTGGCACGCTCATCGCATGTGAAGTTTTCTCTTAAAGGACTAGTTCACTTAAAAAAGAAAATTGATAATTTACTACTCACCCCAATGCCATCCAAGATGTTCATGTCTTTTTTTCTTCAGGGGAAAACATTTCAGGATTTTTCTGAAATTGTTAAAGTAACATCTTTATGGAAAATGACACATCGTTTTGCTAGATAAGACCCTATTCCTTAGCTGGGATAGTGCAGACCCCTTTCAAGAACTTCAAAGCCCTTTGAAACTGGATTGATTTGGACTTCAACAAATTGGTTACCGTTGAAGTCGATTTTGTGGAGAAAAATCCTGAAATGTTTTACCAAAAAAAAAAAAAAAAAAAAGACATGAACATCTTAGATGGCATTGGGGTGAGTAATTTATCAGGACATTTTCATTTTTAGGTGAACTAATCCATTAACTCTTGCTTAAGGGGCATCATTTATGCAAGGAAATCACTTTGTGTGACAACACATGACTGAGACCTTTGTTGCAATGTGATCAGTTTTGTGATAGTTGAAAACAGGAATTAATATTGTGTAGCCTTATTTCACTGAGGACCATTAACATCCTCTGAACCTTCTGGCAAAGAAAAGAATAAAGCAAGTCACAGCAAGTTACAGTGAATAAAAGGGTTATTAATATATGTCTTTGCCTTTGCAGTCAAATAAGTTCTAGGATAGTAATATTGTAGTTCAATGGTTTTTGATTAAACCGGCCTAGATGTGAATGAGAAGCCACCCAGGACCCTACAGTTGCATTACCCTTCATGTTCAGTTTCTCATCTTCTGAATGAAAACGTTGGAGTGATGCTTTGCCTTTATCAAAAGGACAACAATCCAAGCAAAAAGATTTATAGGTTATGCAAAGTTAATTTATCCAATACATTCTGACTCTTTCTCATTTTATTGAGTCAGTGCACATTTCACATATTTTAAATTGCCACCTCAATTGAAAAAACAAAACAAAACACACATTCTCTCTGATGACATTTGAAATGTTTACAAAACCAAAGTATACTAGCCTAATTAATACAATTCTAGCCTGATTTAATAAAACTGTCTGTTAAATTACACACATCAATTTTCGTGTTCATATTTAATTGAAATGACATTAAATGTCCAGACAGGAACATTTAGCCTATCGCAAAGGTTAAATATTACGATCTCCTTTAAATAGACCCACAATATATTTTCCTCTTCAAGTGGCTTATTTTGTGGACTTAACAGTCCCATTGTGGATTTAATGTGTGCTCAGTAATAAAAGCCATGTAAAGAGAAGCATTTCCACAGAATAAGGCCCAGACCCCCTATAAAGTGCGCACATGTGCAGTTTCTCATTGCGGAGCTGATTGATTTTAGCCGATTTTCACCTATGATATTTATAGGCTATACATCATCAGCGTTTTATTTTAATGCCTTTAAAGTGAGTTTTGATCCCCTGATCTTATTTACATTGAGCTCTTATTTAGGCTACACGTATAACTGGAGCCCTCCCTGTGACTGTATTATTTAGTCCTGACAGTTAAAGCGCTCAAGGACTTTCCCGAGCAAACTCTCCGTAAAATTACTGCTTAGCCCGACAAAACACCGTGACACAGAAAGATTACCTGCCCAGATTAAGTGCCCAGGAGAGTACTTGACAAGAAAAAAGGGCTGTAATTACTTAAAAGATTAAAGTGTAGGCTATGCTGTTATGATGCGCCCAGTAGGCTACTGTAGCAACAGCCGCTTCGGCTCGGCCCGGGTTGATGATTGAAAACAGACAGCACAAAGTCTTATCGCGTGTTCTCAAGGCAGACGGGAAACTACCCTACTCGAGCAGCGGAGAGAAATTCACACCCCCGGTCCGGTTCACTTTCTCATCCGCTCACTTATGGATAAGACGTGTCTGACTTGACGCTCTGATGATCGGATGCACCAAACGAACATTTTTGGAAAACTTTTCTCGTTGACGTTGATTAAGAGCCGCCTGTGCTTGTCCTCTGCGATTACACAAGTGCTCGTTTGATTATTTTTGCTTACACACTCTCTCGCCCTGCGCAGCTCCTCTGTCTGACTGGAACTTTTTTCTAAGTAGGCTAATTCGTCGATGAGTCACCTTAAAACCCTCACGGCTTGTGTGTTGTACTCCGTTTCTAGACTATCGAGGTTCCGTTCGGGTTGATGGAGGCTTGCGAGTCCCCAGAGGCAGTTTTTCACGGATCTTACCAAAGCCTTTTCCAAAACGTGCGCGTAAAGAGAGCGAACAACGAGAGTTTGGACATTTCTAGCTCCAAGAAGTGCGGCTTCCTGCAGGAGACCGCGTCGAGGGAAATGCGTTTAAGCAAGCTGTCCCCCCGCAGAGGAATTCTACGCTCCCCCGAAAAAGAGTGCGAGAGTACGATTTCGGTGATACAGTTAGCGGCAAGCCGCATTCATTTTCTCAAGAGTTCAACAGAAAGCAAAAGCGACTCATCTCTGTCATCTAGCGGCTCGGGCCTCGCAGACGCCACCGAAAGCAGCGACAGTCGCGCAGGTTTCCTACGGGGCGCCGAGAGTGGGCAGAAGGGCTACGGTGCAGCTGAAGTTCACAAGCACGAGTTGGGCTCGGGCCGTGACGCAAGTGTGGCGAGTTGTAGTCGCGCATGCAGTAGCGGCATCACCATTTCGGAGACAGCGCGAGAGCTGTGCAAAGCCGTGTCAGTGTCTTTGGGCTTAGCTATGGAGTCCAGCGAACTAGGCGAGGTGGGACCGCACCATGCACCGCCACTGACCACTGAAAGTAGTAGTGATGAAATGTATATGCCTTTGCTCGACTGCTCAGTGAGCGAACCTGGGGCAGGAGCGAAAGACAGAGAGTACGCTCTCGCGATGGGACAGAGAGACAGAGGCTTAGAGCTGCGAGGCAGGGACAAAGTGCTCGGGATGTTTAAAAGTAGCGATCTGGTGCAGCTAGCAGGGGATGTGACAACCTCGCAGTACAGCAACGCGTCTAAATCCCATTTAACATCGGCTTTGCAGGAAGTGCACGAGTTCGCCAGCATGTCCGGGGACATTGCCAACCCGAGTTCAGAAGGTACGGCAGCATCGGATATGGACGCGACGCACGCAGCTTCGTGTCAGTTCGAACAACTGTTGCCCGCGAGCATGGCCCATTTCGTCCACCCGGAGTTCGAAAACGGACCGAGCCAAAGCTTCGCGAAGCCCTCGGCGATGTCCGGAGAGTTTACGGAGAATTACGCGAATCAGTATAATGTCAAAATTAAGGCAGAGATGATGCCCCGTGATCTGAATGGCACCTGGGCGTACCCGCATAGGTACGCTGATGACTCGAATGGCCAGTACGGGCCTCCAAAACAGAGGACCACTTACGCTACTGACCACGAAACGCCGTTTATTTCTAACCCATACGAGTACGGCCAAAGCGGGTCTCTGGTTCCGCGGGAGCGACCTCCGCCCGAACAGTGGTACCCGGTCGGGATGTTGGGCCGTCCCCCGTACCCTAACGTGCCCTGTGTGAAAAACGAGGTGGGCGAATGGCTGGATGTAACATCGTTAACAGATGGCAGGTAAGAAGGGGTTCTGCTTTTCCTTTTTCTGTGGCTACAAGTTACAAGCAGTAAACTTTGTTGAGAAAGTTAATAATTAGCACATGCCCATTGAATGGCGTTTGAGCAGTAAAATAAAATAACACGTGCGTCTTTGCACCCCGCAATGCGACCGTACATAGGATAATTAAAGAGTTCGACTTGTAGAAATGTATTTATATATTTATTCGAAGTTGATAAATGAACACATAACCGAAATGATGAAGAATAATGAACTTGATGTATTGGCATTTTGAAAAACTTATTTGGAGGGCATTTAATTAAGTTGTTTAGGGATTTTCAACCTGTGCAGACCCAGCCCCCTTAATATATTAAGATATAGGCTATAGCCTATTAAATATCTTCACCCCGTGTAGTACGTTCACTGACCCCTGGTTTCTTGTGACTTTCCAGTTCTGTTTGTTCTTTATTAGATTGCTATTAATATCAAGATCAGTTAGCCTCAGGACCATTAACAAGAAATGAAATGTATAATTCCTGGAGGAAGTGTTAATTTGCTTGATGTTCCTCTCTTTATGTCTGCAGCCAATAAAACAGTACACAGAGACAGCTGTACACATTAATACAGTATCCGAGTCTTTAACTCAGAGGCCAGCCTCCTCCCTCAGGGTTGCTGGGTTCCAGGGATACTGCCATCAAGGCAACCCCAAACGGTTGTGTCCAAGTGCCTCAGAACTCCTATCATTGAACTTCGCTGTATTCTCATTCTATTTCTCAGCCACTCACACATTTTATCACTCACAGATTAAACATGGAAATGGTACATTTTGATTTACACACTGACACACTGTCAACTGTCGGGTTATGCTTTTAAATTGTCAGGCTTTACCTAAATTTCATTTCTTAAGCCTATGACAGGTTAGGCAATTTTTACTTTTTCCTTAATAGGTTGTTGTTGTAATTTCTCAAATTGTCAGTATTTGTGGTTTTACAACATGCTTTATATCTAATTTGACTTTGACAGTTTAGCTGTTCTTTCAGTCAGACCTGTGCCGGATGGTACAAACGCAAGACAATGATAAAAAAAATGCGGGAGACTGAAATGAAAATACCTTAAACTCAGAGTACTGAGAAGATTAGTATTTGTCTAAAGAATCTGAGCGAGAGTTTGGTGGTTCAAACTGAGGCGAGGCTTTTTTAATGTTTACAGTTTTTTTTTTTTTTTTCCCTGAAAGGAAACACCACTTGATCTTTTTGGGAAAAATATAGTTTCAGACACCAGACAGAACATGAAACTGAATGGCAAACACAGACCCAAATAATGAGTGAAAGTTTGAGAGACTTCACACTGGTCTTGACCTGATATCACACATAATAAATCTTCTGTACATGAGTCTTAGAACACGAAGCCACATTCAGGCGGAAAAAGTGGTCTGTTAATACCACAATAAAGTTTTAGGGGTAAATTGTATTTGTTTGAGTAGGATTTATTTGTACTCATATGCACAGTATTAATAATTTGTGATGGTAGTGGTTGTCTGCTTGACCACCCACTGTATTTTATGGTGATTTTTTCCTTTCTAAACGCTGATCTTTTTAATAAGCAGTGAGTTTGATGAATGGATGGTGCATAAAAAGACAAACCCTTAAAGGTTGGATGATCACTGAAGATAGCTGAGTTAGTTGTATGTTTTGTGTGTCAAAAAAAAAGAATTTTTGTGTATGCACGTCTCTGTTATGTAATAAGCTGAAGTACACCTTGGTCAAATTAAGTTCTGGTTAAACATCATTCCAAATAAGGCAAAGGTTCTTTACAAAGCGTTCTAGTGGGACACCACGGGGTTTGTACTCAGAAGAACCCTAAAAGATTTCACTGTAACCCTATTGCACTAGAGTTCTGAGAACCCTCTTATTTCAGCCTGGTCTTATTGTTTATTGGTACGTAACACTTACAAGTAAACATGCATTTGTATGTTTGGATTGATTCTGAAATGTACACTGTGGACATATTGACAACATTTAAAACATATTACGCACAGCTAATGAAACATAAAATATTTACAAATCTTTATATTTATGTAGTTACACTTTTACCATTTTATAGAAACATTTTATTTATTAATTTTATATTATTTTAATTTTAGTAACAATATAGCATAAAGAAAAATATATTTTGAGCTGCTAATCCCACTCCCACCTGTAAACGTACCTGTAACAATTTCTTTAGCAAATGCAGCAACAAATTCTGGCAGTGTCAGAAGATTTGACTCGCAGTCCTGCAGTGTGACTTTTCCTACAACAACAGTCAAATTGTCTTTGTTTTTCAAGACACCATGACCAAAATTTATGTTTTAATAACGTAATTAAAGATCTCGTAGCCCACATTTCAATGCAGCTCACTGTCACCGAACGTGTCACTGATCGATGATGTAAAACTTTGGACGAGTTTTATTGTTTTATTGTAACAGTCAAGACTGTTTTTAACGTGTCTTGACTCCCATACAGTCTGACAAGGAACAATCGTAGGACTATTATAAATCACACTGTGTGCACCCATGAGCAAACAAACTTTAAGATCATTGCAGTTCACACTTACATACAATTCGAGTGGATATTTGGCGTGCTGTCCGGGGGGAGGGCTCCGAGCTCGGAGTTTGGACCGAACCCAGAGTTTTGTTTAACATGTAATCCTTTGAAATTTGTTGGCAGCAGAAGTCACAGAACGAAATCTTATTTCACATTAAGTAAATTAGTAAACTGTGTAATAAATGTGATTGAAAACATAATGTCATTGTCAAGACAATTGAATAAAAAATAGAATCAAATTATTCATGCCATTATTTCACTATTCTTGAATATGAATTTGTTTGGAAAGTCGTTCATATGTAAATAACTTTAAATGCTGGCATGCTGTCAATATTGTACGTTTCAGGGTGTATGCAAACGTAAGTCAATATATGTGGTAGAACCATGTACAAATACAATATTTGTGATTCGCTTATTTGCACTGAAAATTACTATTTTATTAGTTCTAACAGTCATATTTAAAGTGTGTCTTATGTGCACTGACAAATAATTGTTTAAAGGGATAGTTCACCAAACAATGCAGATTCTCTCACGTCTTTTAAACCTCTATGGCTTTCTTTCTTCTGTGGAACACAAAGTGTATTTTAAAACATGTTTTTGATTTGTCCATACAATGAAAATCAGGGGTGTCCAGTGAGTGTTTTCTAGACTTTTCTAGAATATTCCTTTCTCTTCCTCAGAAGAAAGGAAGTTATACAGGTTTGGAACAATATGAAGGTGAATAAATGATGACAGGAAAATAAATAAATAAATAACATGCTTGTCATCATTATTTATTCACCCTCATGGTGTTTCAAAGTCCTATTTTTATTTCTGTGGAAAACAAAAGGAGAATTTTTGAAAAATCTTTATAAAGCTCCTTCCTAAACAATAATAATAATAATAAAAAAGAGATTTGTGTGAGAAATCTGGTCTTCCTTTCCCCTGAAGCCTGAAATCTCATTTACATGTTCATTCAGATTTAAAAAATGGTACATTTGACACAATTGATGGCTATGTAATGACAAAAGGATGATTAAATAATGACAGAATTTTAATCATTTTGTTTTGGGTGCCTCTTGTGCTTCAGTGGGAGTCAGTAAAGAGCGTGCGCTGTTTGCTGCGGAAAAATCGTCCTCTGTTTGTGTTCGGTCTGGAAATCCAGTTTCTTTAAATGATGATTTGGCCCTAAAACTGCAAGTTATTGAAACAGTGATGTACGGTAAACGGCTGACAGCAATGATATTATAGATATAGACAAACAGGGTGCACTCGGCAGTTGGATATGTATAGAGAAGCTGTGAGCAGTGTAGTTTTATAAACTTGTCTCTGGAATATTGCCCTTTTGTATATATTATAAAACAATTCTGAGCAAATTAGTAGCCTACTATCCGTCACTGCAATCAACAGCACAGGCTCCCTGGAAACACATGACACAACTTTGTCACATGAAACCATGTGCTTTATGACCTTCTTTGAAGTTTTTAATATCAAGCGTTGCTCCCATGCTTTGATCAAAGTGTGTTATACTCTTTTCCCTGTTTAAACTTGCTCTTTCCATTTTTAGAAGCACTTTTCTTTTTTTTCTACACTGTAAAATGACATCAATGATGAAGGTTCTCCTTGCCGTACTGTATCACACAGTCATTGATGATGCTTGTTTTTAAGAGCAATCCCTCTCAATATTGTTTATGTGCTGTCACAGCTCTTACTTGAGATCCTTTGGAAGGCTATGCAGAGGTGAAAAGTTTGCGTACATACTGACCTTGTTTATTTATGCTAACATGTTTTGGGTCTTATTGTAATTTAACATGTTATCGGATAATAAAACGTCTTCTCAATCTTTCATAAAAACAAAACTTGTTCAGCCTCTGAAAAAATCATGTAGAAGCAACTTTACCAATCCAGTCTTTTTTTCTCATTTATTATCCTGGAAATCACAATATGGGAATAAAATGGGCTGTGAATGCCATTTTCTGTTGACTTTTTTGCAAAGCAATTGCATTGTAACAGTAACACCACATATGAAGTTGTGAAATAAGCTTTTATAAGAGCTATTGCTATGTGTAGAACATTTGCATTCATTACCCTACAAAATGTTTTGTAGGTTTGACTTTTTTTCAAATTAAAACCAAATGTCAGTAAAGAGTAAAAACACTTAATATTGACAATGTTGTGTCTAAAATAGCCTGTAGCCTGTATTTTAGTTGAACTATTTATTTATATAAAATTGGAATGATCTTAAAAGGGGGACAAATCAGCGTCAAGCTCAAGGCTGTGACGGTGGATGGACATAGTATTTTAAAACTGGAATGTCCAACCGTGGCCCATGCTCAAATTAGTTGTTAAATATTTCATTACGAATTTTTATCAATCAGTTGTTGCAGCCCTTGTACATTTTTTACAACTCCACATCCAACTCAGCTAAATGAATAAATGTACAACTCAATTTATGA